ATTGCAATATAAAATAAAATTTATTTATAACTCTGGGAAAAGTTAGTAAGCACTGAGATTCTAAGCTGATAAAAACAAGTCTTCTTTCTACGTGTTCCTGGATGCAGTCATCAGAAGGTCATACCAGTCGAGGCAGACAATGACCCATATAGAAGCTTCAGTCTTGTGACTGTGGAGGAAACTTGCCGCTTACTTTCTATGTGGTTACTATGGACATGAAACCAGTGTTCTATATTCTTGTTTTTTCCAGAGTTGGAAAATAATGAACAACTTTTTACTTTTAGAAAATTTTAATAACTTGTGTTTACAAGTGACCAGGATATGTTATTGTGCCATGCTATCAGATGTACCAGAATCTGAAAATGGTAGCTCATACACTGTGTTTAACAAAATCTGATGTATGTTTTAACAGACTAATGTTTGCATAAGGAAAAGGTTGTGTTATCAATGTTAAACGACTTTATATAGTATTTCTATACCAAAAAAAGTAGATTTTTTTCATAGAATCCTTACAAACTGTAATTAAATATTTATTCTTCTTTTAAAATTTTAAAGAACTTGTGTTCGGCTGATCATAAGCAGTGGACAAAGTAACCATCATATAATTAATTTATGCTATACTCTGAACTGATAAGCCTGTATCCTTTGTGTTCTGTTCCATTCAATATCTCATATTAGGTTTGCTGCCAGCTCACTCTCAATAGAAGCTCTTCAGACATCACTTTTCCCAACAACTACAGATTCTATTTTTATGAAGAGTTAAATATTTTAAATAGATTTACATAAAGTTATTTCTAATTAGTTAACACAAATGAAGACATTTATTATTTTTTTACATTTTCTTTACAATTAATTTTAATGAATTTTTTGAAAAGTATCAGAAGCTGAAAAGGTGACGTTTATAATATCTTTAGCCCATATAACTTTGTGAATTAATATATACCTACATAAGTGGGGACACTAAACTCATTATTTTTAAATAGTCACAATTCTGTACAATTTCATATTTCAGTATATTTACAGAAAACTAAAAACAGAATGAAGTTTAAATACTTCACGTGAAATGTCAGTGATTCAGGTACATCTTTGGCTGGAGATGATGCTGAGTCTTCTCTCTCCCAGGTGTCGGGTGTATTGCTTCCTGATTTAATTGGAGGTTCCTCCCATTGTTGGTGTGACTTGCCCATCAAATATGAATGTTATGGGAACCTATAATTTTCTCAACAGTTCTATGTTTTTAGATTAATGGAAGTTAACAAAATTCTCCTTTGAAGGGAACTATGAAAACCGCTTTAACAAGTTTAAGCAAAAGTTGAGAGTTTGTTACAACCCAAAAAATCAGAGCCAAATACTTAATTACTGATGCTCGCCAGCTATTAATCACAGATGCCAGCATTCAGAAAGAGCCCATCCCTGTCAGTCAGCTCACCAACCTTTAAGATTTTTCATGAGACCCAAGTCTCCTTGTCTCTTGGCATTAACTCAGTAGGTCCTAGTCTTTCAACTGAGTGTGTCATAAAGCACTGTTGCTATATTATTGCATGATATACTTAGATACCAGCAATAACTCATGTCATTAGAAAATGACATGAAAAGGCACATAGTTTAAAAAAGAAACATCATTTGAGATTTCCTTTCTTTGTTCTTTTCTTTCTCTTTTTCATTTGTGTAATATTCCAATAACCCAGAGCTACAGAGACACAGTTATATCTAAATAATTTCTCTCTCTGTTCCTGTGCATCCCCCTTCACACCAAGTCCCAGGAAATATGATTGAGCTAATTTTTATAAGGTGGTTTTTTAAATTCCTTTTTATTTTTTCTAGCTTTATTCCAAAATAATTAATATATACCAGTATAATTTTACGATGTATAGTATAATGGTTTGATTTACATATATTGTGAAATAATTATCACAATAGGTTCAGCTAACATACATCATCTGATATAGATATAATAAAAAGAAATTTTTTTCCTTGTGATGAGAACTTTTAAGATTTATTCTGTTAACAATTTTCCTATATATCATATAGCAGTGTATATTACAACCCTAGTAATTATTTATTGTATAACTGGAAGTTCGTACCTTTTGACCACATAAGGTGATTTTTTAGATATAAAAAGTAGAGGTGTTCAAATGAAAAAAAAACAAAAACAATGGGAAGACACATCAGAATATAAAGATATTTTGATCTTACTTTGATCATCTGACCTTCTCTCCACCAAATGTTTTGGATTCCCTGCAAGAATTCTAATTCAGTTGGCCTGTCACCACTCACTATTAAATACATTATCTGCAGACCATATTGCTGTAGACACTGGAATACTGCCCATTCCCTGTGGTTCCTCTGGAGAAAAAAAAAATCCTATCTCCCACTCTGGGAAGTCCAGTCATTTATACAGGTCCTAATTCTTTTGTTTCAGCAACATCTTTAGGAAAAAAAAATCCAGTGATTAGCAGAAGAACCAGAAGTAGTACAAAAAGCCCAACCACTGTTAAGTAATAGATGTTCAATCTCCTGTGCACTTTTTCCATTCCAAGTTGCTTCAGTATTTCTAATATTTGTTTCTCCCTGAGACCTAGCTGAAATTTTTGCCCCAGCCTTACTAAATATAGATACTCTTCTTCTACATGATATTTCACCTTGTGAATTAAATTTAGACCCTCCCTCCTTCCTATTGTTTCCTCAGTTTCTTAATACAATGTTGTTTAATTTGCATTCTTTCCTATTAGAGTTTAACACTTTTCCTCCCTACGTAGATACATATTTTCATAACTGGAAGTTTGTAAAGCATTTATATTTATTCAATCAGAATTCAAGTAGAAAGCTTACTGAGATGGCAAGGGTCCATTACCTACCGTTGAAAGATGGAAAGAATGTGGAGGGCACGTCATTACGGAAGATTAGAAAGGCTTTACTATACACCAGGCACTAAATTAGGCATCTGCACAGACAATATCTCATTTAATCCTAATGCCACAAATATAGGAGTAGGCATCATTACACATATGTAGTAATTTCAAAGAGGCTAAGTACTTTGCCCAGGATCAGAGTAATAAATAGGTAGACTGAAGATTGGAGCCCAGTCTTCCAATTAAATACTATGCTCTTATACTCAGTAACTCAGCTTCTTAGTACTCAAAGTGGTTTCAAGCAGGTAAAGTTTATTTATTACATTCCAAAGACTTTCACTGAGTCCATAGCAAAAGCTTCTCCTATCAATAAGAACCTCAGAATGCCTTGGTTTAATGTCAGTAAGATTGAAAATAATAGTAACTATGGCACCACAGTTACTTCACTCCCACATTAGCATTATCAAAGTACCCTTCTGAGCAAATCTGGCTTCATAAAAATGACATTGTAGTTACACTTGCTTGGTTGTTGAACAGCAGTCACAGTGTAATTAGTGCCACTTAATGGAAAGCATTACTGAAGTGCGTATCGTTATTAATCAAACTCCAATATAAAGCTGGCCTCAGTAATAATGAGTGCAATTATGGGCTGATGAACTATTAAACTTGGAAACTGACCCTAACCAAATTTTCTTTCTTCAGAAAGTAATAAAACTCAAAGGGCTGAAAATCACTTTATTTCTCTGGGCTCTCTAGCCACAAAAACAACCTGGGAGATATTTTCTCATGCTCCATGTTTTATAATTTCATGCACACTGAAGCTTGTAAAGTGGTGTGAGGATTGGAAAATGTGACCCTGAAGAGAGGGTCAACTCTAATCTGAACCTGACAAGATTTGATCCAGTCCAGACTCGTTACCTACCAGACAATGTGGAATTTTATCCAGCTACTTTGCAGAATTTCACACACTTCAAAATTAAACATGAAAAAATGTTCATTGAGCCTGAATTAGCCAGCAGGCAAATTCAAGTGCAGGATAAAATATTTGTTCCTTTAAAAATATTTGACAAAATCCCCACAGACCTTTGTAAGATGAGAGTCCCAAGCTAGTCTTCTCTAAACCTAGCAATGGCTATTTGACAAACCTTTAATGGCATCTGCATTTCTTAGTATTAGAAAGTGTGTTTAGAGTTTATATAATACTTGACATGTTTAAAGCATGCTTTATTACCTTGCCTGATTTTAGCTCCACAAATCTTTCTACTTAAGCTCCTTTATAAATGAAATAGCCTTGCTTTTCCCCAGTAATCATTAGACTGTCTTCTCACTCTTAAGGCTTCCTAAACATTTTTTGCAGATGCATGGGATGGCTGTCTCAAATAATTTGATCACCGAAGAGGAAAGTTCCTGCTCAGAACCATGGACTTGCATTTTATATATAGTGTCAGGATTGGCAATTTTATCAAGTTAATAAATGCCAATAGAGAGATTTAGAGCCGATTTGCTAAATTTACTAAATCAGGCATCCCAGAGCTATGGCCAGTAATTGACAAATGTGAACTGGGTTTAAAACACATGAAAAACACAGAAGGGGAAGGGACAAAGAGCAAAGAGAATTAAAGCCTAAAAGTAATCGC